CTACTTGACCATAATGGGTTCACAATGCCATGAGAGAGCTCTGGTGGCTAAGCACTTGTCTGCTGAGCAAAAGGCCAGTGGTCAGAACCCATGAGCGATTCCAACAGGACAAAGAATGGCAGTCTGTTTCTTCTAAAATCTAGCCTCAGGAACTCTAAGGCACAGTTCTAACTAGCTCCTGTAGGGGTGTTATGGTCCAAATCGCCTTGATGGCAATGGTGGGGATCAAATTTTTAGGTGGACCCCTAATGAGAGACACACAGTCATGTGTCTCTATATTTTTACTCATTGCAACTATATTTTTAGTCATTACAGTCTTATAAACATTACTTTGTCCTTATTCAATAAACAAGAAAAGATCTAAACAGCACTAAGAAATAAAAACACTCCCCCACAAACAAACAAAAAACACTTCACTGTCATTGAGTTTATCCCCACTTGGTAAACCTTTAGGACAGAGTAGAATTGTCCCTGTGGGTTTCTGAGTCTTTACAGGGCTAGACAGCCTCATGTTTATCTCTTGGAGCAGCTGGTAGATTCAAACTGCTGGTCTTAGTACCTTAATGAATAACCCACTATGCTACCAAAACTCCTTAAGAAATACAGAATGAATCTAATTCTACCTTCCACATCCACTTCTTGAACCTTCTCCTCCCTAACTTTGCTTCCTTCAACCCTCTGTGCCAACCGTATTTCCAGCTTTGCTCTTCAAAGAAACAGCAGTACTGAGATGTCAAGCTCCTAAACCCTCTTCTTCTGAAACTGAAACAAAAGATAGCAGCACTGCTTTAATTCCCCCAGAGCCAAAGAGATAAGCAGAGGCCAGTACTTGTCTTTCATCCAGAGCCTCTGGCCATAGTCCCAATGGACTCACCCACCCCCTCCAGACCCTTTCTCCCAGTCTCTTCCCAGCTGTCCATCAGCTTCCTGTCTGGTCAGTCCATGAACCCCAGAGCAGGCACACAGAAGCCCCCAACCCCAAGTCCAGTGCATTCATATTGACCGGCTACCATGGCAACGAGCCCTGAGCCCTGTTATCCCTTTAGCTATTCCATTCGCAGGTCCCACTGGACCGCACGGCGAGGAATGGGATCAATTCTCTCTCTGCACAAGCTCCTCTGTCCAGCCACTGATGCATATTAACTCTACAGAAACGATGAACAGAAGGGGGCCCTGGGCCATCCACTCTTCTAAATCAGAAATAAATAGACCCATCAGCACAAGTTGGGCTGCTCTTTACAAGCTCCTTGACCCACGGGTCCCCAATCTCCTGGGTTTCAAAGATGCACCACCAGGTGATCCCCAGGCTCAACCCTGATTAACAACTTTCTGGAACAAGAATAGAGTTCACAGACAGAAATATCAGTGGATTTCAGCTGCAAGAGGCTCAGCCTCTCCCAGAAGCAGATACCTTGCCTGGGGTGCAATTTTCCCACATCAGATTGCAAAAATCAAAAAAGATCATAGACAAGAGGTGAACCCCAGTGTTTATAAAATGGTGCTATAAATGGGTAATAAAAAAGACGAAGAACTTAATAGGCAGGTAAAGGGCAGAGGAGGCGATCAGGTAATTCACAGAAAAGGCAATACATAGAAAAAACAAGATCACTTCACGAGCAATATGAAAATCTAAATCAAATGACCCATTCAAGAGTTTGGTAATACAAGGCCCAGGTGAAAGGGCAGAGTGATGTAATCCAACTAGAAAAAATTTGACAGTATCAAAGGTGCCTCTGAAGAAATGCCTGGTGGTGTACTTATGAAAAATCAGTCACTAAAAACCCACTGGACCAAATAAGTCAGCAATTACTTAAAAATAAAGGTTGGAACGTAAGGGGATAGAGAAATAAGAATCAACTTAGAAATGGAACCAGAGGAGACATGAAAATGTCCATACATGGACACTGAACGATTATGTAGAAACTGTTGAATGGGAACCAAAATTGTTATGTCAACACGATGAAACCAATTTTTAAAAAAAATTCTACAGGGCATTAAGTTGTATGTTAATGGTGGTGGCATGTTTGGGAAAGAGATAGTGATAATGATGATTGCATGAAAATGTGATCAGTGATGGAAAAAGCACACCAGCCTATGCAACCACGAGGTGTCGAAGGGACCAGGTATAAGGCATCATCAGAACGAAAAATCTTACCATAGTGAATGATGGGGGGAGTGCGGAGTGGAAACCCAAAGCCCATTAGTAGGCCACTGGAGATCCCCTTGCAGAGGGGTCTCGGGGAAGAGATGAGCCAGTCAGGGTGCAATGTAACAATGATGAAAAATACAACTTTCCTCTAGTTCCTAAATGTTTCCTCCCCGCTTCTATCATGATCCCAATTCTACCTTACAAGTCTGGCTAGACCAGAGGATGTACACTGGTACAGATAGGAACTGAAAATACAGGGAACCCAGGGCGGATGAGCCCTACAGGACCAGTGGTGTGAGTGGCAAAAAACAGGGAAGGTAGAGGGAGAGTGGGTAGGTAAGAGGGAACCTTGCCTGGGAACCAATTACAAGGAACTATATGTGACCTCCTCCCTGGGGGATGGACAACAGAAAAGTGGGTGAAGGGAGAAGTCGGACAGGGCAAGATATGACTAAATAACAATTTATAAACTATCAAGGGCTCATGAGGGAGAGGGGAGGGGGGAGGAAGGGGGAAAATGAGGACCTAATGCCAGGGGTTTAAGTGAAGAGAAAATGTTTTGAGAATGAAATACAAATGCGCTTTACACAATTGATGTGTGTATGGATTGTGATAACAGTTGTATGAGCCCCTAAAAAAAGGTTTTTTTTAAATGTGATCAATGTTATTGTAAGTGTGGAAGTTGTTCTGTTGGCAAATATCGTGTTGTGTATATTTTCACCACAATTTTTTAAAAAGCACTATGAAAAAAAATTCTACTCTGACACCAAGAGTTGAAATCAACTCCACGGATATTGTTACCAAACTTACAAATGTTTTTTGTCTTTGATCTTCAGTTTTACTCCTAGGACTGTAACCAAGTGATGATACAGTTAATTGCACATATGTGAAGAAAGTTAAGCACCAGGACAGGTATTGCAACACTGCCTGTGATGGTTGAAGATAAAAAGGAATCAAGTTTCCAACAGGAGACAGGTTAAATTGATTGTATAATATCCATACAGTGGAATGCTATATGAAGATAAGTCTAAAAGGATTGACACTAGGGTCCCAGTTCATATTTACATGCACTTATTCCAAACAAAATGTGCCTAAACATGTCTCTGTCATCAGTGGATGGCTGCAGACAAGTTCTCTCTCAGTTATACATTTTTCTTATTCTCATAAGTGACTTCCAAAAAGGTCCAATCAAGACAGTGGCTCCCAAGGAGATCTGCTAGGCCAGTTCCATCAAGGCAGGGAGGTCAGCTCAGACAGTTATGGAGACTGTTGGGGGTGGGGTGAGGTGGGGGCTCAAAGTGGCAATCAATCATGATTGCTATGGTAAACCTCACCCCATCCACCTTCCAGCCCAGATCTTGCCCCTTCAAACTTCTTTTTGGTCTCAAAACTCAAAGAGCATTTCAAACAAACACAATATGAGTCCCTCAAGAAGGCCAAAACTCAGCCCATAGTACTTTCCATATTCTCTGCCAATACCATAATTCAAATGCGCTGGTTCTTTTTAGGTCCACCTTATTCCGTGACCAACTTCCACATGTGTGTGAGGTGATTGAAAATAACATGGCTATACAGCATGTAGAAGATGGTGACTGAGTAACATGCCAGAGGGACTCCACAGAAATCAGCACAGGAGAGCTACTAAGAGGGAAATTCTAAACTGCTGGGTTGCAGGAGGAGCATCATAAAGATAAATAGGCACCTATCTACTAGGTTTTGAGGAGGTAGGGGCTTTTGGCTTAACACAGTGGAGGCCAGCTAGGGTTTGACCTTAGCCCTGCCACTGTCTCGGCAGGAGCTGGGATCATTTGGAGCCGGCCCAAGGGCTTTATCTCAACACAGCCACAGCTTGCCATCACCTCGGGACAGGGCTTAAACCCCTCCAGCCCCATGGCCAGGGATTGGGGGCTCAGCTATATTGTTACTTTTGTCTCTCTCTCTTCTCTCTGTCCCCCCACAGTCTCAACGGGCTCACGGGTTTCTTTTCTTTCTTTTTTTCATTTTTTATCTCTTCTTTTAGTCTCTTCCCTTTTCTCTCACACACCACTGCCGACCTCCAGGCCACTCCCCTTAGCCGAGGGCATTTATGCCTACCCTCCACCCAGCTGGGAGAGCTCCAACCTCTGCAGCACAAACCGAGGCTTGGGAAAGCCTGCCCAACTTCCTCCAGGGGAAATCACACCCACCTTCCTCAGGGGAAAATACTGCCTGTGTGGCTGGGGAAGCTCCTACCCATCCTCTATGGTCCCACATGACTGAAGGACCTTCCTCTCGCCTGCTGTATTGCGTCCCATGGCCTAAGGTAGCTCAGCCAACACGCACCAACATTCCATGCTGCTGTGGGAACCTCTGCCCAACTTCTGCAGTGATCTACCTGACCAGGACAATTCTGCCCACCATTCACAGTGTTCTACACCAAACTGGGAACACCCACCAGTAGTCTGTGGCACTCCCATTTCAGCAGGCACCCCTGCACAATCTCTGTGATGCCCTAAGCTGCCATGGGCCATACCATCACAGCTTCTTATTAGATCACCCAGTGCAGCATCATCCTCGCAGGTCCACAACCACCCAACCAGTGTTGCCTGAGAGAACCATCCAACGTGCTCTCCAAATAACAGAATACTGGTTGACTAGGGAAGGAGTGAAGCCATAGGAGGATAAAGCAGTAGGCCAAGAACAGCACTCACTGAGCACAAATAAGAGACCACCTCATAGAAGAACCCCACCCAGAGGGCAACAAGAGAAAACAGCCCCCCAAAAAAGAATTGGCTTCAGGTTGGAAAGAAGTCAAGAATGAACCACACACACACATGCACAACACACTGATAAGAAGAGAGGTAGGGCAGTCATGCTGGGGAGCCTCGCAGGCCAGCTGGAGAAGCCATTCACGCTGGCGGCAGCGAGGGATGGAAGCAGGGAACACGGCTACCCCTTTCAGAAAGCTCAAACATTTTATACCTTTCCGTTTCAACACATGCTGGCCGAGGTTCCTCTGATGGATACCATGAGCCAACAGCCAATGCCGGCTGAAGTTCCACTCCCAACCCCCGCCCAGGAGCTTGCGCAAGAAGCCCCAAAAAGAAGAAAGAGAAAACCCAGAACAACAGAACCCAAGAAGCCAGCAGAACCCAAAAAGCCTGCCACACCCAAGAAATCTGGCAAGTCCGCAAAGGCTAAAGACAAACAAGAGAAAATCACCGATACATTTAATGTCAAAAGGAAAGTAGACCGCTTCGGTAGGGTGTCAGAAGCTGAGTTCCTGACCAAGACTCTCCCCGACATCTTGACTTTCAATCTGGATATTGTGATGATTGGCATCAACCCAGGACTCATGGCTGCGTACAAAGGCCATCACTACCCTGGACCCGGAAACCACTTCTGGAAGTGTCTGTTCATGTCCAGGCTGAGCGAGGTGCAGCTCAATCACATGGACGACCACACCCTGCCCGGGAAGTATGGGATTGGATTCACCAACATGGTGGAGAGGATGACTCCTGGCAGCAAGGATCTTTCCAGTAAAGAATTTCATGAAGGCGGACGTATTCTAGTGCAGAAATTACAGAAATATCAGCCACGAATAGTGGTGTTTAATGGAAAATGTATCTATGAAATCTCTAATAAAGAAGTGTTTGGAATGAAGATTAAGAATTTAGAATTCGGACTACAGCCTCATAAGATCCCAGACACTGAAACACTGTGCTACGCCATGCCATCGTCCAGCGCCCGGTGTGCTCAGTTTCCTCGTGCCCAAGACAAAGTACATTACTACATCAAACTGAAGCACCTGCGGGACCAGCTTTAGGGCGTGGAACGAAACACTGACATTCAGGAAGTGCAATATACATTTGACTTACAGCTCGCCCAAAAGGATGCAAAGAAGATGGCTGTGAAGGAAGAGAAGTATGACCCATGCTATGAAGCAGCGTACGGTGGTGCTTACGGGGAGAATGTCTGCCATCGCGAACTAGGGAGCTGTTCTTCCAACGAGCTCACAGCCGAGGGTGCAGAATTACACGGAGAATCAACGCTAAGTGACAATCCAAACGGGCAGTGGATGACCCAGTCATTTACAGACCAGATCCCTTCCTTTAATAGCCCCTGTGAAACGCAAACTCCGGAAGAAGGAAACCAGGCCTAAGGATCGCGTTTCTCAATGCTGCTGAAATGCTGCAGTTTTAATGCAGTGGTCAAGACACGGACCTCCAGTTTGCAAATGGAAGTGTTTTCTCAGTGCTCTGTGTAGTGTTCTAGTCGTAGTCTGCAGCAGTTATGTGATAGACTCAACTGTGTGGAGTGGGTAGTTTGGAAGAAAGACATAGGGATTTTTTTATATATGAGTTTTTGTATTTGAATTAACCATCATTCCAGTGTTTTATAAACTGTTTCAGTTATGAAGAACTTGATTTTCTTTGGAGAGCCACTTTTAATCTGTAATATTTAAACATAACAGTCTGAATATTTATAGTTAAATTTTAACTTACCGTGGATAAAACTAGAATACACCCTTACCCCTTTTATGCCTGAGAAGGGCATGCTAATGAGAATGATCACTGGTGAAGAGGCTTTTGCAGGTGGAGCCAACCCTCAGAGGAGGCTCACTGGGCAGTTTCTAGAGGTGTTTGGGGGTCCTCTGTGTCATACACTCAGACCTCTGTCTGACCAGTGGCGAGCATCTGTGAGGCTGGCTTGTTCTGGGGAGGGGGGTTTGGCCTTGCTGCTGCAAAGCTCAACCGACCTTACCTGGCAGGGCATGGCGCCCTGGCTTTGGCCTTCACCCTGTCTGTGTCAAGCCTCTGCTTGGCAGTACTGATTCTTTGGGGATGGTACGTCCCAGAGGGTGCAGTAGACCTTGTACGTTTTGCCACTCCATTGCTCTACTTGAGAGACCTAAATTTGATAGCGAGGAACCTTCTCACTCCACATCTGTCCGTCTTCTCATCTTACCCTGCCTGGTTTTTGTGGCTATGACGTGTGAAGTGGAAAGGCAGGCTGATCGAGACAATCCTGGAAGGGTTTGATGATCTTCTTTAAACTGGTGCTTTTTATGAGTGTGAAATGTACATAAATATAGATTTTTCTTGTTAAGC